TCAAGAAGGAATTTAAAAATGGAGATTGGCCTTGGCTGGTGTAGCTCAGTTGGTTGAGCCACGGTCCCATGCTCCAGGAGGTCACCGGTCAGGACACACGCCTGGGTTGCGGCCTGGATCCCTGGTAGGGAGCGTGCGGAGACAGCTGATTAGTGTTTCTCTCTCATCCATGTTTCTCTTTTTCTCTCACCCTCTCCCTTCCTCTCTCTCTAAAATCACTAAAAACATATTTTTTTAAAAAAACCAGAGGCCGAAACTCCACCTTGGCCAGGTAGACACAGCTGTCTGACAGGGAATCGTATCTGTGGCTCCCAGCTAGGTGTCATTAGTCAGTGACAAACGTAAGTGGATCACAGGAAAATTACCCCTGTCTGTGAGGAGTTAGCTAATCCTGTTATCATGACTTTAAAAGGCCTCATTGGGATAGAGGACCTTTCACAGACGAGGGAAAGAAAATGCCTGAAACTATGAAAAATACTCAACTTTACTTGTAGTCAAAGCAATGCAAACGAAGGGAAATAGCATTTCCCCAGTAAATGAACACATTTATTTCCAAATGAGAGATACCCAGGCTGACTGAGAAACCAGTGGATGAGAACCGGCCAATTCTGTCGCTGGGAGTATACACGGCGTGGCCTTTCTGGAAATTACTTAGGCAAACGCATCAAGGCCCTTTGATTGAGAGCTCAACTTCCGGGAACTTTGTCCACATTTCTGATTATTTAAATAAATTAGCCCGGCCAGGCGTGGCTCAGTGGTTGAATGTCGACCTAGGATCCAGGCGATCGGGGTTCGATTCCCGGTCAGGGCACATGCCCGGGTTGCGGGCTTGATCAGTGACTCTCTCGTCATTGATGTTTCTATCTCTCCCTCTCCTTTCCTCTCTCTGAAATCAATAAAGATATAAAAAAAAAAGTTAAAAAAATAAATAAAAGGTTTTGCAGTGATCATTATAGGAAAAAAGTAGCTGAAATGCCCAAGGGTTGAGAGTTTGTAATAATTTGTGGTGTTTGAAGTGCTTGTAAGGGGTTTTCGTTCTGTGGGGGAAATGCTTGTGGTATGTTTAGTGGGAACAGAAAGTCCACAGTTGTATATTCCACCTGAGATATGCACAACCGCCTGTAAAAGCGGGGAGGGAAATAACGCCAAACTCTAGCATTTGTTTCCCACGATATAACTATGTGTGGTTTAAATTTTCTCCTGCGTACTCTGAGGCTTTCCAAGGTTGCTTCAGTGTGCATTTCATAGCTTTATAATCGGAAATGAGGTTATTGGCAGGAGTATTATGTTTGGGGCACTTGCCCGATGGCACGAGGGATGGGATGGCCAGGCAGCCCTCCCTCCATCGACCACTTACACCCGTTGAACCTGTCAAATTGATGAGAGTTAAATGAATGCCCTGCTGTCGGTTTCATGCCCGGACTTCCCATTTGCAGCCTGTATATTGGCAGTTCGAGGGGGTCCTGGGGGATCTCAGGACGTTGCCAGCTACGTAGCCTTCGATGGCTCAGAGAAGCGAAGGAATTTCTCCATGAAAAGGCACCAAGGGCGTTATTTCCCTTCCCCTTTCCATTGTCTCTTGTTCAGCCACTTGCTGCATTACGTTGCCATCCCCAGCACTGCCCCTCCCAGTTCCCCACAGTGAGTCACGGCCCAAGTGCCCAGTGGCTTCTAAAGATAGCATTTAATACAGAAATGTTGAGAATCAGCATCCCCCCCTTGGAAATCCCCTTTTTTCTTTAAACCGCCGGGCTGTGGTCCTCACAGAAGATCAAAAGCCAAGAATTAATTTCTTTTGTTTTTCTCTCTATTTCAACTGATGTCTCTGTTTTTTGGGACATTGAGGCCAAAATTACTTTGAAGATATGGAAGGTGAGAAGGGAGCATTGGGTAAAAGAGGGAAATTTTCTCTCCTTTGTTTTCAGATGCGTATACCTGCATGTGCAGTACAGCTCCACTGTGGTTCAATGTCAGGAAACCTGTTGTTGGGCAACAATTAGTTACAGACAAGCACATGAAAGATTTAAGGATTATTGGGCAGCTCCCCCAAGTCTTCAGTAGGAACTTTCCCTCACCTGCTAAGCTTTTTCTTGGGGTAGCCCAGCCCCTTGTACATGTTCCTCTGGTGTATATGAACCATGGGGCCATAAAACAAAGATTTAGTGAGTGAAGTCAAGACAGGAGCTTTCCCCAGTGGGTGCCCTTTGTGGGTGGGAGGGAGCAGAAAGTGTGCCCCCATGTGGCAAGAGTGAGGCACTGCAGCTTTTATCTTCTAGCTTCTGGAAAAGAGCGACTGTTGAAACTTGAACGAAAAGGAAATGGTTTCGCAAAGGAAAGGCTTAGAAATAAGCAGAACGCCGTCGAGCCATTAAAAACCAGAGGCACAGAGGCTCGGAAATCTCGGAAATATTTCTGAAATTTTAAGTGAAACAAGTGGAATATGAAACTGCACATTAAAGCATATAATCAATAGTAATGGCTGACGTTGAGTGTGGCTTTCACGTGCCAGGCACTGTGCTGAGTGCTTTATGTAGATTTCAGCCCTCACAACAACCTTACTAAGTAGCTATGATTATTAGACCCATTTTGCCCCAGTGGCACTGAGGCACAGAGACAGCGTTTGCCTGAAGCCTTATGGCTAATGATTCGACAGAGCCACCATTCCGTGTTGACAGAGCCAGGATCCCACGGCAGCCAGTGTGATCCAGCATCTGTTCCTGTCACCGTTCGCACTGACTGCAATTACGCAAAACATCAATGTACGTTATCTTTGGGCAACGGTCTTTAATGCGGTTATGTTTGTAGCTCTACAGAAAGGACACAGTATGAGAGTTGTGGATAGGTTTAGAGACGGTCATGGGCTTTCGTTTCGGATATCTCTGAGCTGAGGGGCCCTCGGCCAGGCCTGGGAAGATCACCCTTGGCTCTTTCTTAAATTCCCACATGACCGTCAACAAGGGCCTCCTTGGGCCTTGGTTTCTCTTTCTGCCAGCGTTGATGCTAACCAATGTTGACTAACTGTTTCATGTTGAAATTCAGCATAAATTATATAAAGGAAGTCATGCTAATCCCATGAATAATTAGAGAAACAGAACCCAATTCTCCGCAAGCATTGTCACACTCATGTGAATAATTGAATTTCTTCCCCCAAATTATCCAGATTCTCTGCAAAACAAGAAGGGAAGATATTCGTCAATGGCACCTCCTCTTTCTCTGCTCTCGGTCGGCCTTTTGAGTTTGTTTGTGCCCACATAGTACACAGTAAACATGTATCGTAGCACACAGTGGGGTTTAGCTTTCAGAGAAGGTATTTTTCCAGGGATTTGAAATTTTTTGCAGTTAGCAGCCTAGGATTTGCTCATTTGTGCTAATTCAACCAGATAATCTCCAGTGACGTCTTGGGGATGTTTTTGAGGCTCTTGTGGCTGGTGATCTGTTAATTAGTGCTCCCGTATTCATTGGGGGCCTGAGCTCCCATCATTGGGCCCATGAGATTTGGCCCCATCCCACTGACAGCAACATCCTGTGTTCCTGGTGGCACTGGGCCCCGGGGGTTATGAAAACAAAGGTTAACACTGCATTTATCCAGCAAGATGTTCTCATCTGAGGCCCTTGAATCGGTAAGATTTCAAAAATCATTTAAAAATCATCTGTCAATGTAGTATTATTTTTAAAAAAAATTTTTCTGGAGAGAAGATCACAGCTTCCAAAACCAGTTGCTGATCCAAATGGTTTAGGTCCCATGACCTAGAGACGGCAGGACTTATCACTCCATGGGGAGGGAGGGAGTCAAGCCCTGAGGGGAGGGGGCTCCCCCAGGCAGCATGGTTCCTTTGCTATGGTCCCCTGACTTGTGCCCACGGACCCGTCTGCTTTCTCTCTGTGACACAATGTGTTGAGATACAGATCATGCCTCTTGTTTGGAGGAGAGGAAACGAGGAGGTCATGTGTCCCATTGGGTCACCCCGTGGTCCAGTGGGAAGAACGAGCCTTGGACTGGTCCGTCTGTCCTGCTGGGGTCCTTATTCTGCAACAGTGATATGGTGGCCCTCTGGCAAAGATGAAGCGGGGGACCCCAGGCTGAGCCCCAGCAGGCGGTACCCTTTTGTGTGGCTTCTTAGATGCCTGCGTTTGGATTTTAAAAGAGGCTCTTTGAGGAGGATCTGCTTTGAAGAGGTTCCTTTCTTCCCTCTGGAAAGAACTGGAGCCCTGGGTTCCAAGTTCCCGGGGTTAATAAGTATCTCCTGCTTACACTTAGAAACAGTGGGCCGGACGGGTTAAGAAACACTGTTTTCAGGTTTGTCTATGAGCGGGAATATGGTAGTTACGAGATTTTCGTGGAGTCTTTTCCATCTCCGGTGTCACTCAATGCCAGCTTACCGGACCCTCTCTGCCACCTCAACATCTTTGATGGACTGCGGGAGAGAAGAGCATGTGACAGCCACCACAGTCCACACACACAGCACTTGGGACTGTCTAAGCATTTCCATGCAGCCTCTCCTTTAATCCTTGCTGACGCCCTCTGCACTCGGTACTGTTATCCCGTTTTGTGAATCAGGAAACTGGCACAGCGAGGTTAAACGGCTTGTGAGCTGCGGCCTGGTTCCAGATTCCGTGCTTCCCATCACTACTCAGTATTGCTTCCCTAACACAGGCATTGCCAGCATCTTCTTTCATCTTCTCTCCCCCTTTTAATTCCTTTACATTGGGCACTGAATGTGGAGTCAGCAAATGTTTGCTGAATGAATGAATGAGTGAATGAAGAAGTGAGAGAATGAGGGAGTGAATGAATGAGTGAGTGAGTGAATGAATGAGTGAGTGAGTGAGTGAATGAGTAGATGAAGGGACTGAGAAATGAAGGCCGCACAGAAGCTCGCGGGGCCCATTAGGAAGTTAGGAGGCAGCTGGTGTCCCGGCCTGCAAGCTCCCCTGCCGCTGGCCCAGGCCCAGGTGCCGCTCATGCTCCAAGTCCTCCCTCTCCCGCCCCTCTCCCGGCTCAGACAAGAGCGAGAACGGCGAGGCCTACCAGAGGAAGAAGGCGGCGGCTGACCTGCCCGGGCCGGCGGGCCCTGCTGTCCCCGCGCCTCCCCGAGGGAGCCCGGCCCCGCCCAGTGGCAGCAGCTGGCGGAGGATCACGCTGCTCATCCTGGCCATCACCGTCCACAACGTCCCAGGTGAGGTCCCGCCGCTCGCTGCCCGGCGGAGGGTGGGGAGGGCCTGGGCGATTGTGGTGGGGGTCTTGTTTTGGGGGCCAAGGAGGAGGGAGGGCGGATCTTTCTTGGCTCTGTTCTGGGGGTGACTTCTAGATGCATCACTGTGTGATAAAATTTCTGGCTCCAGTCACTTCAAACAGTTTTAGTCCTATTTCCAGAAACGAGTTCCTTTCTTTACGTATTTGCTGCCGAGTCACCGGGCGCCCGACGTGCCGTTGCCTGACTGCTGCGGAATGAGCTTTCCATAAACACGGGTGTCTCGTTCGCTTCCTGCTCTTTTAAAGCACTGAACTCAGTATGGTCGACACGGATGTTGGTCTTACCTGCTTCCTCCATTCGGGACCCCGTTCTGAAATGTCCTTACCAGCCCTTTCCTTTTCAGCATTTTTGGAGGAATTCGTTTTGTGTCTTTGGGTTTATTTTAATTGAAAACAATGTAGTGGTGTTCTGTTTCAAAGAATAATACGTGTCTTATGTAGCATAACTAGAAAACACAGGTAAGAATAGAAAAGAATAAAGATATTATGAGAAAATTAATTGGGGGAACCTGAGGAGCTCCTTGGGTTCCTTTTTGGAATTCCAGCTCTACTACTTACTCGCTGGTCTCTCTTGACAAGTTTCTTGGGGCTCACTTGGTTTTCTCATCTGTGAAGTGGGGGTAATGCTGCTACTGAGGTAACTGGGATATTCTTTATGAAATAAACTACACTTATTTTCGTAAGTAAAGAGAATGCTATATGTATGCATGTGTGTGATAAGATGCTATACATGTACCCTGTTCCTCCTTATAAAGATGCCTGTGTTCGCAGCGAGGACCCACCCAGGTCGTCCAGGGTCCTCACTCCACCCCCAGATGATCTCGGCCAGTCCCATCTGCAGGCTTCTTTGTCACGAAAGGCAGCCTTCACAGGTTCTGGGGTTGTTGGCGGCGTGAGCCTGGGCATTCCCTCTACCCAGGCCCAGTCCCCGCGTGCTGCAGGGGCAGCTTTGGAGGGACAGCGCTCAGACTCCGCAGGAAGGAGCCAATGGCCAGAAAGAACTTATGGACACTTCGTTTTCCTGGGACAAAGACCGAATGGAAAATTTTATTCGACACAGACCTTTCCAGGGAAAACACTGATGCAACAGCCTCTCCTTCCCGTTGCTTTGCTCCCAGAAACTGGAGGAGTTTGCTCCACAGCCAGAGACCCAGGCTCAGTTAATGAGTAAACTGAGCCCCACTCAAAGGCATAAATCGTGGTAATAAAATACATTGATGATACTAGAGGCTGCCGCCTCCTGGGGCCTTTCGCAGTTCCCGGCGTGAAGTGCGTCACGTATATGATTTAGATATTTGTGTATCTGTTTTATGTTTTAGAAACTGCCACCCAGAAGGGTTAAATTAGACCGAGCTCAAGGTCACCCAGGCAGGTATGGGTGGAACTGATAGACGCTCCGTCTCTACGTTGCCCCCAGTCTACCTCCTGCTTTGCGAGCTTGCTTCCTTTCTTCCTTCCGGCGGATCGCAGAGGTTTTCAGAGACGGCTATGGAAAAATTCAGGACATGCGTCTCGCTGTTTGCAGCTTGTCACAGGAAATGCTCCTGTCTGCGGCACCACACTGGGGCGTCGGCATGATGGGCTCTGCAGAGGCGGCAGGCTCGGCTCAGCAAGAGTTAGGTGGGGGGTGGGGGACCTGGACGGAGCCTCATCCACGAACAGGACCTACCACTGTGGGCACTCTGCGGATCTGCGTAGAAATGAGCCCCCTGCAGCCCCCACACACCCACCGCCGCCACCAAGTGAGGATGGTCCCGGACCCAGAGATCGTCAACCCTTTACCCACCTCAAGGGGAGTGACGTGAGAGATGGAACAGCACAGGATTCCACATCAGGAAGGCCAGGCCTTGGATCCTGGGTGGCCTTGGGTAGCACTGTGGGAGCCTTGCTTTTCCCAGCTGGACAGTGGAGGTAACTTGGATCTTTCAGTTCAATTTTAAGTGAGGTGACAGTGATGGCTGGCAGCCAGCAGGGACACTCACCCTGTTATCTGCTGTGAAGTGCATATCAGATGCCTACAACTCACTGGGACCTGAGAAATGTTCATCACCTCCTCCCTCCCCCTTGGCCTTCCCTTGGTTTCGATCCGTTCGCATCTGGTCTCAGTGGAACATCTCTGATCACTTGAATTTTCACCTCCAGCAGGTTCCTCCAGAAGACGCTTCTCATTTCCTCCAGGATTTGGAAACCCTGTAATATTCCCCTCTATAATTACCTGCGTCCCAGTGGGAAGCCTGACATGATAATTAGCTCGGGCTCCCGTCTAGGGTGACATTCCACTCAGCCTAGCGTGTTCCCTGGGTTCGCCCCGCCCCGCCCCGCAGCAGAGGCTGGGAGCTCCCTCCTGAGTCACGCTGTTGGGTCTGAGCGTGAGGATCGGCACAGGCACCCGGAGGCTGCAGTCACCACTCTGGGGTCACTGGAAAAGTGATGGGGCCCCGGCCAGGTGGCTCAGTCAGTTGGAGCGTCGTTTTCTACACCGCAAGGTTGCGGGTTCGATTCCCAGTCAGGGCACATGCCCAAGTTGTGGGTTTGATCGCCAGTTGGGGCACATGTGGGAGGCAACCGATTGATGTTCCTCCTTCACATCAGTGTTTCTCTCTCTCTCTCTCCAAAAATCAATTTAAAAACAACATATCCCCTGGTGAGGATTTTAAAAGAAAAGAAAAGAAAAACCTGACAGGTAACTTTGAGATTATTTCATCTCCTACCACGGGCTCGACACACGATGTCCGTGCCCCTCTCTCTGGCCTTCGGGTCCAGTGAGCGGTGTCCTGAGGCTGCACCGGGATTGGGGCTCACATCCAGACTCATCCCCATGTCTACCAGATCCTGCCATCCTCTACCTACACGTAAATTAAGGAAAAGAATTAAAAAGGGAATTTGAACACATTTCTGTATCAGGACTCAAAAGTTCCCAGTACCTCCCAGTTGTCTTTCTAACTATGGCCAGGCGGATATTGGCTTGCTCAGGGGGCATCGCTCAGCAGTCTTGTCATCATGTCTGATGTTGGGGGGCTTTAGGGGGAAGAGCTGCTCCAAGGAAGACCCCTTCTCCTCTCCTCTGGGTACTGCGTTAGCTGCAGAGAGATGCACCCATCCCCCAGCCAGGTGACATAGCCTGTCTGGGTCAGCTCAGCCCCTCAGAGCAGCTTCTCCACACTCAACTCAGGCTTTGACCACAGGATATCCTCTGTCAGGGGAACATCCCCACGGCGTTCACTGTGAAGTTGGTGCCAGGGGCACTGCCCAGTTCATCCCCCCGCCCCGTGCTCCTGAGGGAGGCGATGCGCTGCCCGGCAAAGGCCGTGTCCCTCGTGGAGACCAGTCTTCACTCACTGGGACACCTCGTTGTCTTACCTGATGCCGGACACGGAGCCCTGCGGGCCGCTGAGATGCGAATGAAGCGCATCCTTACAGTCAGCTCTCCGCATTTCCCTCGCATCTCGGCCCCTTGACTGCCCTCCGATCCCTTTCACAAGGAGGGAGCTCGTTAATCTGTCGGCACAAGTGGATTTATTCCTTTGCCGCCAGCTTCCCTCCTCTTGTTTCCTGGGCATGGGCTCTGTTTCTGATCCGAATACCTGGCCGCAGCAGTGCTTTCTCTGGCTAAGGTGGAGCCTGGAGACGAGGTGGGGGTGATGGGGTGCCCTGATTACTCAGCCACGCAGCCGACCGGTGCCTTCTGGAGGCTTTATACATTCCCTGTCCACGGAAATGTCATGCACACACATTATTACGTCACCACGTGGGAATTCCAGAATCCCACGTGATCCACGCCAGCTTTGCGATGACCTGTGACCGGAGCTTGACTTACCTTTGCTTCACCGTCAAGAGAATTTTAGCTTTTCCAGAACTTTGATGAGTGAAAGTACCTGGCGCCTTTGCTGGTAGGACAGCTCACCAAGGAGCCACGTCACCTGCTACCAAGTCCCCCCGCCGCCAGGGGAGGTGGCCTCCTCTGTTCAGAAGCTGTAGCAGATGACAAGTTTAGTCAGCTGATAACATGTGAGGTGCATCCTCTATAACAGGCCCAGCTCATTCGGATTCACATGGACTAATTTTAGTGCACATTAATTACGGATTTCGTAAGTCCCTGTTTATTCCACTTTGTCTTCATTCCCTTGGTAGCTGTTACGGCGTGGAGGCGAAAAGAATTAAAATGTTCCTTGTGTTCTTCAAGTAACAATGAAGGATGAATTCTGAAATCACAGCTCCGTTTCCCCCCCCTTCCTGCCATTGAGTCCGATGAGTGAGACGACACCTGACTGTACTTCTAGGGCCATTCCTCCCTTTTCAGGGCGGCGGTCGCCAGGTGAGCTCCCCGCCGGGCACACAGGTGTCGTGACCTATACAGCTTCTGTTGCTTTTGCCTCCCGCATTCTTGTTGACACAGAGACCCGTCCAGAGGTGACACACTCGGCGTCGGGGGTTAGGAGAGGAAAGGAAAAGACAGGCTGCTCTCTGCAGAATACGTGGGGTCTACTATCTGCAAGTTCAGTCTGGGCAAAGCCCCTGGGGAGCTTGTGATGGACCCATGCTTCCTCCAACACTTAAGGTTTCCAAGCCACTTCCAGCCCCGCCCCCCGCCCCCGGTCCTTCAGGGGTTTGGTCCTTCAGTGGTTCAGCCCGTTGGAGAATTGACATGCCCTTGGCCTGAGTTTTTTGCATATCGCCTGCCCAAAGGGGCAGGGCCCCATCCTCCAGGGCCGGAGCCTCCTCAGCTGTCATCTGCCTGCTCTTGCAGTGGCTGGTAGCTGTACACATTCAGTCCCATTTCTGTTTGTTTTGGACCTTGTGCCAAAGCTTGCCACGCCCCAGCATCCTACCAATTACTAGAGCACGGTCACTCCGCCTGCCCTCGAGCTCCTCCGGCCACTTCTCGTCTTTCCTAACCCTGCAAGTGGCCCTCAGCAGTTGGCT